AGGGCACTCAAAAAGTCAAATTGAAGTCTGTGTTCTGTCAGATGTGAAAAACAATATATTTCCGTGGTTTACTTTTTAGCCTTTAAGCTGATATTTAAATTCAGTTGTATTTTAAATCATTACCAAAAGATAAAACTCCAAAGAGCATGAAAGCCAACAAGCCTTTCACAATGGCAGTTTTGCACTTAAAGATTTTCCAAAACCAAACCAAGACACTGTATTTGAGTTAAGCTGCTAGACTAAGCTTAGTTTGATTTAAATTGACTTGACTTGTATGTTTCTTTTGGTTTTTATATGAAGGTAAACTGAGTATTTGTATATACAAATAACAACCAAATGCAACGATACCGAGAACAATGTTGCAGCCCTAAGGACAACTTCTTTCATAATATGGTTGTGAACATTACAATCATGTTCACCTTTGCTTGTGGCTGTGCTCCCTTTAGGCCTTCAGCTGGTTTACCCACACACGTCAGGCCAATGTGGTTTGCAGCTACACTTTATAAAAAAAACATCTTTACACAAACAATCCGCAGGTGAGGACAGAGCAGTGAAAGGGTTAAAGTAACAGGGACAATCAGAGTTAAACTAATCCAGTGTGAAAACCTAAGATGTTTATTTATGTGTTCATGCTGGCCCTTCTGCCTCTTGCGGCCATTAAGGGTGTAGCAGGGGCAACACTAACTTTCTGTCTCAGGTGTCAATTTCCTCTTTTCAAATTCAGAATATATGCTTCTATTTCATATTTCAGTGGGTGGAAATAGCAAAGGAAGTGTTTGTATAAGAGTTATTGGAAGTTAAACATAATAGATTAGAGAGAGTGTGAAGCTAAACACAAGTGATAAAGAGCTGGTAAATAAGATGCACCTTTAGTAAGATAGGTTGTTATAAGCAGGGCTGCACATAACTGGTGCGCAGGTGCGCAGGTGCGCATGCGCACCCGCCGCGAAAAAAGGAGCACCGGATCATTTGAAAAAAGGCGCATTTGCGCACCAACATTGAGAGAGAGAGAGATATTTGCGAGTTGCATATGAACGGGTAAGATAGCAGGGTTTCCCACACATAGACTTTACCTGGGCGGGCCACCCAGGTATATTAACGGCCGCCAAAGTATAATTCGTAAGCCGTTTAGGTTTGATTTTTTTAATCCGTCCGCGAGCACGACGGCATCTGTCGATCCCTCGCTCTACCCCCTCGCTACCGTGTGAAGGGTCTGCTTTATGCACTCCGCACAGTAACCCTGCTGCGAGGCTCCGGTGAACAGTCCATGAGCGTGCTTACTAGCGCAACTCCCCCCCCCCCCGTTTATAAAGTCAAGTACCCCTCAAAAGGTCCGGTTTATTTCATTTTAAGGATGCGCACCAAGCAACATCTCCAGGTGCTCCTTTGAGAGCCAGGGCAAAAAGGCTGTGTGCACCGCTGGTTATAAGCTTTCTGTAAGTACTCTTCTACATTGGAGGAATTTGGCAATATCAGATACTTTGCTGAGGAAATGTTCAATTTCCAGCCCAAAATGTGTCTTCTGTTTGTATGTGATAAACTGGGGACACACTTCAATCTCACCATGAGCAGAAAGTAGACTGCAATACAGTTTCAGTTTGTGCCCTCTCCTAAATAACCTCCGCTGTCTGCACTCTGATACGTCTAGATATAAGGCTGGATTGTGTGCAGTGACGGAAAACACCGTTCTCTAAAGCTGAGGGTTGGTTTTGTTTTTTTTTGCCTTATCTGAACCGTGATAATAACCACCACCCGTGAGATGACGATAGCACAGTTGTAATATTTTCAGCTTCTTGCCTCTGACTTTTACGTCTACGTCTTTGGTTTAGGCACCAAAAAGTCTTCCTCTGCCAAAAGATTGTCTGCATCTGGTGCCTCCAGCGACTCTGCAGTTCCACCATTTTGATCATCTGTTCTGAATGTGAAATGCTCCTCACTCCAAATGTTCACCTTCAGGGCTTCTGCCAAGCCACCGGTCACGACGCCTCTCCCGGCGTGTGTGTGTGTGTGTGTGTCTCTCTCAAGACACAAATGAGACACACTGATGGTGAGGAGTTTTCTGTGTGTGTCTGAGACAAGGGCCATTTCTCAATCGCGAGGAAACTGGCTTCCAAGCCAATATTTCAAGGACACTAGGTCATCGAGTGCCGCCGAAGGACTGTTTCAATCTCCAGCATACTTGGAATTCCACCGAGGCCGCGTCCTTGGTTTGGGGGTAATTTCGAGGCTGCACATGGGTAGACTTCGCGTCCTTCAAATCCCCACAATGCTTTGCGCACGGACCAATTTCCCCAAATCTGTGGCGGAAAATGTAAGGCGGGGCCTCTCATATGACGCACACCTGCACACTTGCTAGCCTGTTCCACTCTTCGTTTTCCGATTGCCAGGAAGGATTCTTGCCTAGCTTCTGAAGGAAGTGACTCGGAAGACATGTGCTACCAAGCAAGTATCCTCGCGATTGAGAAACGGCCAAGGTGACACAAGGGTTGCACGATTTGGAAAAAAACTACTAATAGTGACTATTTGACTATTATTGTGTTTATGATATGATTCAAGATATTGGAGGGAATAATCCGTTTTAGATAATAGATGGATACGAATTAAAATGATAACTATGATTGTGATCTGATTTATAAGCAGGATCTGTACAAACTGTCGAATATTGTTTGTAGCCCTATTAAAAAAAATGATGTTTCACATATTTTGCCTTTACCCTGTTTTATATTTGATAAAATGTGGATTAATTGTGTAGTCTTATTACCCTTTACTAGGGATGTAATGATACCAAAAACTCACGGTACGATAATATCGTGATAAAAAGTCCACGGTACGATATTTATCGCGATATTGAAAAATAAAGAAAAAAAAATGTGAATTTTCTTTTTCTTTTTTCACTTGAATTCTTTATTCTTTATTAAATAATAAATCTGATTTGTACAGCATTTTAGTAGGATAGTAGTATTTTAAAGTGTCAACAATATAATAATCAGACCTTGCAATAGAATAAATCAAGTTTCACTTTAGTTTTTCAAGTAACTCAACTCTAACTCTCTAACTCACTCACTCAGCATCATCAAGGTTATCTTTTAGGAATATGAGCTTGTCCACATTTCCAGGTAGAAGCAGGGATGTTTGGGCGTTTACAATATCCCCTGCTGTGGAAAAAACTCTCTTGCTTGGTAGTGATGTTGCTGGGACAGAGAGATATGCTTTGGCCATGGGTGACAGCAGTGGTTAAAACTGTGCATTGTCTCTCTACCACTTAAAAAAACAATACAGTTTTTGCCAAGAAGGTGAGGCTTATTGACAGGGCGAGATATAAATATACTGTTGGTACTTGTCAATGTCTCTAGGTATGTAGATAGATGTCCTTTATTGTTATCTGTTGTTTTATGTTCATGTTGTAACCTACTTGCTGCCATGTTGGACAGGGCTCCCTTGAAAAAGAGATCGATGATCTCAATGGGACCATCTGGTTAAATAAAGTTTATAATTTAAAATTCTAAAAAAAAAAAATTATTTAAAGAAATCGTGGTAGATTTTGTCAGTCTCACAACGGTATTGAGACATTTATTTACCGCGATATTCGATATATCGTTACATCTCTACCCTTTACTGTCATTTGTGTCCAGACCCAACTGTCCCGAGCTGTCTAATGTTTGGTCCCTGCCATGGAGGTGACTGTCTAAGGTCCAGACTAAACAGAAAGCAGGGTAGGTCATCGCACTTGCTCGCTGCTTAATGATCCCTTTTTAAAAGCTTCACTTTGGGGGGTTTGTATAAACACATCCTGCTGAATGTAGACCAACACTTTGCTGTCACTGAAATTAATGGACAGCGAGGCTTGTGTAATATGTCCTTTTGTGTCAAAACACACACAGTTCAGAATAATTGCCCTACGTGCCTGCACCTGTGTTTATACCGAGAGCACAATACTTTTCTTTGATACATTTTTCATCAACCCGCCCTCCACCCCACCAGCTGGAAGGCTTTGTGGTAAATGTTGAGCTTGAAAGTCCTCAAGGAGAATTTTTGCGATCACCTGCTGTAAATAAATACAGTCTCATAGAGTCCTCAGGGAGCTCATTCATCCATTCAGTAAAGGTATACACAATGCCTCACTCATCACAACAAGGACCACAATATGGGCCCTAATGTGATTTGCTTTCTTATTTTTTGCTATTGTCCTTTTGTCTGAGCATGCCTAATTTCTTCCACTTGTGTTAATTAAACATGTGGGCTTACCTTAGAGACTTAGAGACGTATTGTCCATATGCATGCACGGGCACACACACAAACACACAACACACTTTCTATGCGCTTGCAGTACACACACTTGTTCCACACACTTATTCCACACAATGTCCCTTGTCATGCAAAATCATAAAAGCTCAAACCTGTGGCCCCTGGGCCGGTTTTCACACGTACACATGAGCGAGAGCGGGATTTTTCACAGGAGGAGCAGGCTTTTGAGTGAATGAACAAAGGGAATCTCCTTCCTCCTCTGCTCCTCACTCCGTCTAAATCCTATCCTGTGCCACCATGCGTCTCCCACACGCCTGTTTCCAAGTTACCGGCTGCCAGTCCTGCTTAATTGCCTCCTGTATAAAGTGACGGCTGATGAGAGCGAGCTGTCCTCACCTTTTCCTTCCTCTCGCTCGCTGTTACCTCACCTAAAAGAGAGACTCCACCTGACAACTGTACTGTATGCCTTCGGGGAATTATACAGTCGTGTTGACCTAGAATGTAATTTACCTGGGGACTTGCTGTATGGAAAATAAATCTAACTGAGGCACTTTTAATTATAAGAACTGCTCTCATGTAAGATAACTGCTCTGTGAGGACGTTTAATCTAAGCCTTAATAGACGCTAAGGGATGAAAGGCACATGAAAAGCTTTGAAAAGCAAATGTCTTGTGAGAAATAAAGTACAGAACAGAGGATAAAACAATAACAGCAGGCAGTGTTTGCTTTAATGATAAGCAGCTTTTCCTCACTAACCTTTGCACGAGCCTGGAGGAAAGGGAAAGGTCTTTTCGCTCACTCCCGCTGGCAAAATGTACCACCCTGTTGCTCCTGGTTTCCCCTCTTCCTTTGTTGCGCCCTTCCTCACAAATAGATCCTCCTCATCCTCGGTAACCGGGGCTGGAATTAACAGCTCATGAGGGGAAGCCAGGCGGAAGAGAAAAGAAAACACACCAGGGAAGAAAATAAACACTTCTCTTCTCGCCCCTAAGTCCTCCTTTGGCAGTGTATCCCCATCCGTCAGCGCAGCAACGGAGTGTGAGAGGGGGAGAGAGACGGATTAAACGATACTGAGTAAGTGGGCGAGTGAGAGAGAAAGTGAGGGAGGGCGGGAGGAAGAGAGAGCTTGTGTGTGTGTGTGCGCACTGAAGGGAGATCCTCTGAGCTCCTGTCTGTCTCCTCTGCATGCATTCCTCCCCGACAGAAGCCACGAGGTCAGCTGATTTCACTGTAACAAGACTTTATTTCCCCTTGAGGGAAAATACTTCCTGTTCTCTGCTCAACTTCCCTCATGAGTGAAATCACTCTGCATTTGAATGCCTTTTAAAAACCTCAATCTCTCTCGCTTTGATGCACAATCTCTCTCTCTGTTTCTTGATCTTCATTTACGAGCTTCCTTGTGAGAGTTTATCTAATCTCCTCTCTCCCAACACCCCTATCCAGAGGTTCACCAGACAAATGAACAAGAAATGACAAGATTGCACAAGAATGCTGCAATTTCATTTCGGATACACTGTACAAACATACAAACAAACGGTGGCAACATCGTGTCAAGCGCATACATGAACTGATACGCTGAGGAAAAATCTGCAAGGCTCCTCACGTAGGAAAGAAAATTACATTCATGGTGCACATCAGACACAACCATCATCTGTTGCTGCCCTGTATTTGGCCAGAAGAAGCATAATGAAACCGAAATAACAGAATACCATTATTATGAACAGTACGATCAATGCAATGGTAGTTTTAGTATCACCTTATGGGTACTATTTATTGTGATTTTATGACCAAAATGTAATAATCAATTGAGAAGAGATAATACAATTAATACATTTCAGAAGTCCAATTAATTCAGCAAAAAAAAAAGCCACTTGTTTGCGACTTTGAGGTTCTAAATGCAACAATTTGCAACTCAAAGTAAAAAGAAACCTGATTTCTGGTTATCTTTTATTTTGTTTAATATCTATTCAAATGCATCCCTTTGGTCTACGGAAAGCTGTGACCACAGTTCGCAGACTAATTAATTGGGGAAGAGGGGAAACGGATAATTGATAATGAAATTCATCACAATGTGCAGCTCTTTTTCACACGACTATAAACACATGTGTGACAGAACAGGTGCTGGTTGAGTGTGCCAACAAAGAGCAGATTGACTTGCTCCAGGTCACTATGGGACTTGTGGCACTTCATGGCTTCCTCCCAGCTGTGTTCATCAACACCTTCACTGCGTATAGCTCAGGATTCAATTAAAACGGTCTGAATGATATTCAAAACTTAAATTAAATCTTCTCAGAGCCTGGTGTTACGTCACTTAATGAAACACTACTGGGAACTGGTTTTGTAACATTAACAGGCGTAAAGAAGAACCGTTATTACCCTGGTGCCTGGTCTGTGTGTATTGTACACGCTGCATGTGATCCTGCGTCTTTCCTCTCTGCCCATTCCTGATGTAACATGGCAGCCAGAGAGCCGAAGTGTTCCCCCTGAGTCCATTACATATTGGGTCAATATGCACGTGAAGCGGTGGATCAATCGGGTCACACACATCGATGAAAGGTCATTCAGGGGCCAACCTGACAGCTTCCCTAATTATGTTGATAAAGTGTCCAAATGTAATGAATCATGCCCACACCACAGGCAAACACAACACAGCCAGGAAAGCTGAGGGTATGAACATATGGCCATGTCATCTTTACACTAGGGGTGGGCAGCTCGATCCCAAAATATCGATACTTCCGATATTACGTTACGTTTCAAAATATCGATACTAGAGCCAATAGGATCGATACTTTTATACTTTTTTCCCCCCTCTCCTCTACTCGTCAATTTAATCAAAAACGATGTGCTGAGTGCAGACGAACACAAGTATATGCGCTCTTTTCTTCTCTCTCCACTGCTGTCCTCCTCTCCTCGAGGCTCACGCACTCGCAGCGCGCTCCCTGCCCGAACGCCGATTATCAAGCTGACAGACAGCGACTCGCGAGTGCGACACACACACGCACGCACATGATGGCTGAGAGAAAGAGGAGCGTTGTATGGAGCTATTTCACAACTGTCAATGAAAACATAGCGAACTGTGATGTGTGCATTGTGCAAGAAGGCAGTTCGCTACTGTGGCCACTTTGTATTGTTATTTGTCATGTTTGCACTTTACATTTTCAAAAGTAAAACGTTTATTTGTATATAAAAACGGTCCTGTCTTTAATCATGAAAATGAATTCAGATTTAGTCTGTGTGTGATGCTTTCAGCTCAAAAATCATGTCATGCAGCTCTCCCCTATATGAAAGTATAAGACGCTTTTCATTTTAAAAAGGTATCTGTGATACTGGCCCTGAAATACTTGGTATCGGATCAAATCCAGATTTTGTAGTATCGCCCACCCCTACTTCACACTGCACGCTGACCAGAGGTGCTCCCGTGGTGCATCATGGGTATTGTGTGGTCTCGGCTGGCGGGTGTTGCTTGGGGACTCATGGCAACATGCAGCAGGAGCTCTGATTAGGGACAGTTTCTGTATAAGAGAGCTGGTGACTGTGAGGCCTGAGGCGGGATCGGGCCGTATGATGATCATCCAGAAGGAAGTATGCACAGCAAAGCTGTGGACTGAGAGTTCGGAGGAAATAACTCACGCTAGAGTTATTTCCAATGCCGCACAATCATCATTGTTCTCTCTTTGATACGAACATTCAGTGCAAAGCAAATCATTTTAAAGCTGGCTTAAAGGGGACCTATCATGCAAAATGCACTTTGTGATGTCTTTTATACATAAATATGTGTCCCCTGTGTGTCGGGGAACTCACGCAGCATCAGAAAATAAAACCCTCTCTCTTTTCCTCCGTACCCAAATCTCTGAAAACGGGTGTACAACGAGCGGATACAGATTTGCTGCCGATATGACGTCAAATCGGCAGCGGACCCACAGAAAGTTGCTATCAGAAACAATGCCTGACGTGTTTTGCACGTAATCTCATCTTTGTTTACATTAGCAAGCCTCGCTAACACTCAGAGCTAACCTCTACTGGAGAGCACATGTGTTTAAAAAGCAGGAAATAAAAAAAGAACTCACCTTGTGATAAACCCGCAAGAGAAAAAGCATTTGAGCTCCATACTGTTTCAGCTACAGTATAATCCTTGATGTGGTTTAAACAGGATGGCGTTTTATCACAGCAGAATTTAACTTTATCTCCGGTAGAATTCTGATCAGGCATTAGCTCCGCCTCCTCTTTTCTTTCTTTTTTAAAGCTAAGGACCCAAAATCCGCGTTTCTCTAACAGGGCTTCAAAAGAGGGGTTTGAGCAGTCTGAGGCATGGCTACAATGGGGGATCTGTTTGGTATTTTAAGCAAAAAACTTCACAGACATGTTTTTTATAGGTATGGCCCTACAATATATTTTTCCAATATAGCATGATAGGTCCACTTTAAATCAGATCTCACTAACTCATATTGCATCTGATGAAAGTGAATATGAAACCATCACAAAACCATAAAGGATGGTTTTATTTGTCACAGAAGAGCTGTGATGAAACTCATGACAGGATTGCTGTTTTTATTATGGAACACTCATCCACAGCGCCTGATAGTACATTTATCTTACAACTCTTATGAAATATTGAGTGGCTTTAATGTACTCGGGAAATGTGGTCATGTTAAATGGATGCAAAGCAGGGAATGTGCGGACCGTTGGCTGGCGGCACTTAGTCACATGAACATACCTCCGATGACTGTAAAACAGAAACAAAGTGCACTGACTGACTTCTTACTGTAAATAGATCAGTTGTTTTCCTTTCATCTCCAGGTGTGTGTCCTCTGTGTCAGTGGGCGCGCTGCGGGGGTGTATTCAGGACTTGAGAGGAGTTTGTCTTCCACATAACTGGGCTCATTAATAATACAACTGGCTGTGTACTGAACCTTTACCTCGTCACAGATGAAAATGATCTTCCTTTTGTGTTTCTGTTCAAAGTCATTCTGCCCCTCAGAGGTTCAGATGATAGGAGGTATTCTGTCTGGCGTGGCCTATCCTGCTTTAAGCCAACTCGGGGAGATTTCTTTGAATCTTTTTTCAGGAGGATCCATACATGTAGAGGATTAGCTTACACAGTCCTCCATTAAAGCAGCAGGGTATTTGATACAGATGTGACTTTCAATCTACAAAAAAGAGATTTGGGCTCTGCTTTTTATTATATGGTCCAAGGGCAGGGAAATAACTTTTTGAAAAGGCTTGTCCATATGTTGTTTGTCCCTTTTTCCTTTCTTAGCCCCCTCTCCCCTCTACAGAAGAGACCTATGGAGCTGTTACCTCCTTTTATAGGGAATGTATAGTGCTGGTTTTAAATTAATTTAGGTTGCAAAATGTAGCCCAGCTATGAACTAGTGTCCTGCAGCTGATGACTATAGTCCCATGGTAATAAAGTGAGTGAATGTCGCTGTCAAGCTTTCCTCAGGGGACCAGCTTAAGCGCACTAGATGGAGGTCAGAGGAAGCATGGGGAATTAGGCAAATCCATACAAGTCATTGCGTGTCCTTCCGTCTTGAGATAGATGCTACTAATAGAAACGTGCATCTTACTGCTTCCTAATGACTCAACCAATCCCAAGATGCCACTTTTGGACATTTGGGTGCAGTTGTGCTTTTGCTTTGATTAAATTCAAAAGGTAAGAGGGAAGAAGAAGAGAAAAACCGACCATTTAAATACCCAAATGAGCACTTACTCTTGCTTATGAGTTACAGTTCATTGTTGTTCTTAAAGAATAAGCTTTAAAATGTACACCCCACCTCCATCTCCTCATGTGAATGTGACATGCTGGTGCTGACACAGCTTTTACAAAAAGAAAAAACAACCCAGCATCAGCTCTCCGACGAGTGGCTCTGCGTGCGTGCTTTTCCTCTTTCAGGGAAGTGTGTCCTCTTAATTGCCTCAAAGGTAGTGTTGCTTGTTGCAAAGCTTTAACCCCCATCTTGAAAGCAACGGGGTGTCACTTAACATCAGCAATTACAAGACTAATATCATACACTGCTCAGCCGTCTGAAAAATAACATGATATTAAAAATGCTTCCTCTTCCAAAAAACAAACAAACCC